GTGTTAGTTAACATTTGTCAGCATTTAATGTTGGATGGAATGATAGCTACCGTAATTTTCGGACTATAAGGCGCACCTGAATATAAGCCGCAGCAGCTAAATTGAATGATGTGTACATATATAAGCCGCACTGATAAACCGCAGGTGTTTTAATGTTTAATTACCATATGTAAGGGTTCGTGCACAGAGGGGATTGTCGGGAAAGAGATGGCTGTTTGAGAAAGCTCCCATTTATTAACATTTCAACAAACAAGTTGCATATTTGTATAATGTATTCAAGTGTTACCATTTAGTGCAATAGTAGCTACAGAACATGTACTGTGCTGTGTAAACTGTACTGTATCACATAGCGTTTCAGACACACAAACTTTTCAACTTTCAAACTTAAACGGTGCGCTCCCAGCGCACGTTTAACACCTTTGATCTACAGCAGTGGTTTTCAACCAGTGGTACGGGGACAAACTGTCTCGCTCTCGTTCTGTGTCTCGTACCACTCTCGGTTCCACTTTTACTTTTGCGCGCTACCTGTCTCACTCTTTTCCGGCCTCCAGCTTTTCCTGCTGGAGCCCGCCGCTTAAAGGTGGGCGGCGCGGACCGGCCATAGAGCCCATAGAGTTAAAGGTGGTGGACTGTAACCTGTAAAATCCATAGATTTAGGAGGTCCCCTAGTGGCAGTTAGCTGTACAAATCCATAGATTAGCCGCACCGTTATATAAGCCGCAGGGTCGAAAAATGGGAAAAAAGGCGGGGCTTATAGTCCGAAAATTACGGTACTTCACAGTTTTACGACACATTTTAATTTTTTTGATTTGCAAAATTATCTTTTAAATTTACAAACATCATATGTGTAATTCGTGGCACAATTCAAACGGGATCGATCGATAATCTTTCTCTCCCCATTGACTTAAATACATACTTTTTCCGAAATAAGGTCCCACCCCGGAAAGGGACGGACTTCGCCTCTCTATGACACAAATAATGAACTCGGGCGTAGAAGCATTTGGCTCCTACAGTCAGTGCCCACAAACTTCTTTTGTAGGAAGACTCTTTGAGGACAAACTTTCCGGCGGTTTATGCAACACTGAGGGTTTAAAGGGGCTAGAATGAGCTGAACAGTTTCCAGCTCTGTGCACACTGCGCTTTGAAAGCCACTGTTAGCGTCCCTAATCTCTGCCTGCAGTTATGAGTTTATAGTGCAGAATGTCCCACAGTTCAGCTCCTAGTTGGAAATAGAGGGACAGAGTTTACTGAACTGCATCTCACTGACACTCTGACATTAAGTGAAATGCAAAAAGAGGACAATTCTGTGCAAACTGTGGAAAATGTCAACGCAATGTATGAAGTTTAAATTGGGAATGCATCAGGGCCTCGCTTATTATCGAAGTGCTGTTTCATCAATGTATTTCACCTATTATAATCTGTTTATTATGGGGGGGGGGGAGGATTGGAATTGGGCCTGAGTGTGTCATACTACCACAATTCAAAGCCCAACATATTGCTTTTTCAAACACTCATTTATTCTATGTCTACACTGGTTTTAGAAATTAAAGAATAAAGCTGAACGAATCAATGCATGAAGAAAACCCTGCTGTTAGAAAACAACTATTTATTCAAAACGATATTTTGATTGTTTTTTTGACCTTTTACACATTTCTTTCCACAATTATATTGCAGACAGAACCCTCTCCTTGCTTTAATGTTATTAATATAGATGACGCAGTTATGTATCACAATATCTCAGTATAGTATTCCATTAAAAGACGATACATAGTGGATGCCCCTCCTTAAACTTTATTTCATGAATAAATGTAGATATCAGTACATTTTTAATACACTTTTATAAATACATGTGGCTACACAGTACATCGACATAATCTAAAACAAACCTAAAAGTGCCCTGTGGGGTTTTGCTAAAGTCATTGTCTTCTCCCTCAATGCCTGTGTGGTACAGTAATGTGTAAGCATTAGGGCTGTCAAACAATTAACATTTTTAATCAGATTAATCACAGCTTAAAAATTAATTATGTATATTATAACATTGTTCTGTGTGTCAAAATGAAAGACAGCCCACACACCTATCAATCATCAAACCGTGGGGTCTTAATTCTATCAACACGTAATGTTGTATCGATATAGGCCTATATATAGATGCACTACAGCAAAAGTATTCTCCGTCGGGACTTCCTGCAACAACACCACGCTGTTATCTTGATTCTGATTGGCCAGAAGACATTATCAAAGATGTTCTATTGAGAAGACGATCACTACGTGCCAAACGTTTTCAAAACCGTTTCTAGTCTTCAGTATTTCCAGACAAGTGGCTACTGATATAAATCTTACTAACTGCTGTCTGTGCAATTTACTCAGCGCGATTTGGCGGACTTTATTTTGCTTACTTTAACATAATTTTTCATGGTGGGGCTAAGCCATTTCTTGGTATGGGTGTAGCCTACCCCAGCCATACCCTGGCACTGCCACTGGTGGGATGTATGGGGCGGGCCATTCTGCACATGCGTTAAATGCGTTAAATACTTTAACGCAATTAATTCAAAAAATTAATACCGCCGTTAACGGCGATAATTTTGACCAGCATTAGAAGCATACTTAAATACATTTTTTAAATGACAGAACGGCTCTAACATTGTTCAGAAGTATTGATGCATCTTTATTGAAACTGACGTGCTGAATGTAAGAAGCATAAATGTGTCTCTATTAGGAGCGCATGTGTCACATGGTGCATTACAGAGAGTCAGTGAGCAGTGAACAGTCATCAACGACGTGCACTGTGCAGCCAGCATGCTGAGTTACATGAGAGCCCACACACCTCTCATCGTGAATCCAACGCAGCCGTGTTATAGAGCGAAGCTCCCATACTCCACCTCTGTACGTGAAACGTGAAATAATATTCAAATATATAATAAAATGAACAGATTAAAATTATAAAAAATCTAATTAAATCATCACACAACCAAAACAATCA